GGGTTTCAGATTTAGTTGTCTTTAAATTATAATAATTTAAGTGCCAAATAAATAAATAATAAATTTAATAATTTCTAAATTATTAATTGAAATTCCATCTTACCTTGCGTGGTATGTTGACTTCTCTCGCCGCCGCTGCTGACGGCACGACCCACCTCGTCGCGTTGCAACGGATATTCGGATGTATTTGGGACACCGGCGCCAGCGCCATTTGAAGGCGGCACATTGAGCAGCTCCTCATCTGTGAAATTGCCCACTACGGGCACTGCAAGCAGCAAGAAGGAAGAGGAGGAAGAGCAAGAAATAAGAGTTAGAAGAGTGACATGAGTGAGCAGCAATTGTAAATGTGGGTTAGAATGCGTCGAGAGATTCGCTGGCAGCAAATAGGCTGCATTAAGATTGTTGGCTAAGAGGCATCTGTCGCTCAGTAGATTGGGTGGCAACTGTTGGCTGACAGCTGCCCGACTTGATAAACCAACCAAGCTAATGGGTCTCACTGAGCAATTAGCGAGAGAGCAGAGAAGAAGAAAGCAAGACGCATTGAAAGAGAACTAGAGTAATCGCGATTATTATGATAAATGAGCTATTGCTCCACCGTGGGGGGAATGTCAACGTTGACGCTGAGTGGAACGTTTCACTTTGAGTGCCAATTAGTGTTGCATACTTTTAGGTGGCGCCCCTAAAGCGAGGCGTTGTAGCGTGTGCAGTGTTTGCTGTTGACCTTTCGCCAGTCAGCCAGCCAGCCAGACAATAAACAGAAAGCTCCCGCCCAGACAGTCGTCAATAACAGCAGCTAGAGGCACTCGACATCGACCTCCATCCCTACCATTCCATGGCTCCTACTGTTTACCCAAGGGACTGCTCCTCCGACTGTTGTTAGCCGTATTGGTTCGGGCACAATTTCCAAATGCATTTCCGCTTCGAGCGTTTGTTGAACTCTCGCTTGATATTTAAAAAAGCCAAACGACGAATTGTTTTGCAGGAAATTTTGAAAAATAGCTGGGGAAAAACACACACACACACACACACAGACAGTTGAGGGAAATGCAAATTTTTACAGCTCCTGGCTCTTGGCATTGATTTTGAACTTGTTTGCTCGTTGTTATTGTTGTTGTTGTTATTGTTATTTTTGGAATTGTTTTTGGCTGTCGACGTCGCCGACGCTACCGCCGCATGTCGTCTATTTTCTTTGGCGTCAAGTTTTTTGTTGGCACAAAAGTTTTTTGTTTACTTTCGTGTGTTTGAATTTGCCATGCAAACAGCGACGGCAACAAAAATTTGTGCCATTCTGTTGTTGGTTCGGGCACTGCTTGTGGCATCAAAGTTGCTCCGCCGCCGCAACAAAAGTAGCGCTGGGAATTTGTTCGGCAGCAGCACGGGGAGACGGGCGGCGGGCGACAGACGCTGCCCAAATACCGCATCATACGTTGAGCCTAAACCTAAACGAACCTCAAAAATATGTTAATTTGTTGCGCTGCCAGAGACAAAACGTTAATATGAGAGCTTAATAACATAGAGATGGAGAGTTTGAGAAGTAATATAGGCATGTCTTATCGTGCAATCGAATATTGCGAAAAATATTATATACTTTTGATTTAATGAAATGTGGAATATAAGAGACGAAGAAA